TGGGATCTAGTTCCCTGACTAGGGATCAAACCCAGGTCTCCCTCATTGGGAGCGCCCAGTCGTAGCCACTGGGCCAGCAGGGAAGTCCCTAGGTCTTTAACATCTTTTCGAGGAACATGAATCAACCCAGCTCTTGTATTTCCAGACAAAGTCCCATGCTCAAAGGTTTAGTGACTCTTCCAAAGTTACAGCCAGCTGAGGACAGCTGGGGATCAACGCAGACCTCTCCTGCTTGCAGCCTGCTTCCTCTTCCTATAGCTTCCCAGGCCGCCCCAGATCCTTCACCCTCTTTCATATCCTCTCCCCCATCCCCAGGTGACACAGGACAAGATCATCTGTCTGCCCAGTCATGAACCCCGGGAGAATTTATCTGAAGCCCCGTGCCAGCAGCTGCTGCCGCGGGGGGTCTCAGAGCCCATGGGGGACCTCCGGGAGTTGAGTGGCCTCAAGAACAACCTGGACCTACAGCAGTACAGCTTCATCAACCAGCTCTGCTACGAGACGGCCCTTCACTGGTACGCTAAGTACTTCCCCTATCTGGTGGTCATCCACACGCTCATCTTCATGGTCTGCACCAGTTTCTGGTTCAAGTTCCCCGGCACCAGCTCCAAGATCGAGCACTTCATCTCCATCCTGGGCAAGTGTTTTGACTCGCCATGGACTACTCGGGCGCTGTCCGAGGTCTCCGGGGAGAACCACAAGGGCCCTGCCGCCACCACAGCTGGGCGGGCGACAGTGACCGTGACCACAACAGCAGGGCCGGGGAAGGCAGGGGAGGGTGAGAAGGAGAAGGTGTTGGCAGAGCCCGAGAAGGTGGTGACAGAGCCCCCAGCTGTCACCCTGCTGGACAAGAAGGAGGGGGAGCAGGCCAAAGCCCTGTTTGAAAAGGTCAAGAAATTCCGCGTGCACGTGGAGGAGGGCGACATCCTGTATAGCATGTACATCCGGCAGACGGTGCTCAAGGTCTGCAAGTTCTTGGCCATCCTGGTCTACAACCTGGTCTATGTGGGAAAGATCAGCTTCCTGGTGGCCTGCAGGGTGGAGACCTCGGAGGTGACAGGCTACGCCAGCTTCTGCTGCAACCACACCAAGGCCCACCTCTTCTCCAAGCTGGCTTTCTGCTACATCTCCTTCGTGTGCGTCTACGGGATCACCTGTCTCTACACCCTCTATTGGCTCTTCCACCGGCCTCTCAAGGAGTACTCCTTCCGGTCGGTGCGGGAGGAAACCGGCATGGGCGACATCCCCGATGTCAAGAACGACTTCGCCTTTATGCTGCACCTCATCGACCAGTACGACTCACTGTACTCCAAGCGCTTTGCTGTCTTCCTCTCTGAGGTCAGCGAGAGCCGCCTGAAGCAGCTCAACCTCAACCACGAGTGGACTGCCGAGAAGCTGCGGCAGAAACTGCAGCGCAACGCCCGGGGCCGGCTGGAACTGGCCCTCTGCATGCTCCCGGGGCTGCCAGACACGGTCTTTGAGCTCAGCGAGGTGGAGGCGCTGCGGCTGGAGGCTATCAGCGACATCACCTTCCCCCCGGGCCTCTCACAGTTGGTTCACCTGCAGGAGCTGAGCCTGCTCCACTCGCCCGCCAGGCTTCCATTCTCCTCGCAGATCTTCCTGCGGGACCGCCTGAAGGTCATCCGAATCAAGTGCGAGGAGCTGCGGGAGGTGCCCCTGTGGGTGTTTGGGCTGCGCGGTCTGGAGGAGCTGCATCTAGAGGGTCTCTTCCCCCCAGAGCTGGCCCGGGCGGCCACCCTAGAGAGCCTCCGGGAACTGAAGCAGCTGAAGGTGCTGTCTCTGCGGAGCAACGCCGGCAAGGTTCCCGCCAGCGTTACTGACGTGGCCGGCCACCTGCAGCGCCTCAGCCTGCACAACGACGGGGCGCGTCTGTTGGCGCTGAACAGCCTCAAGAAGCTGGCGGCGCTGCGGGAGCTGGAGCTGGTGGGCTGTGGGCTGGAGCGCATCCCCCATGCCGTCTTCAGCCTAGGCGCACTGCAGGAGCTCGACCTCCGGGACAACCACCTGCGTTCCATCGAGGAGATCCTCAGCTTCCAGCACTGCCGCAAGCTGCTCACGCTACGGCTGTGGCACAACCAGATCGCCTACGTCCCCGAGCATGTGCGGAAGCTCCGGGGCCTCGAGCAGCTCTATCTGAGCCACAACAAGCTGGAGACGCTGCCCACCCAGCTCGGCATGTGCTCCAGCCTCCGCCTTCTGGACGTCTCGCACAATGGGCTGCACTCCCTGCCAGCCGAGCTGGGTCTGCTGCAGAATCTTCAGCACTTGGCTCTCTCCTACAATGCCCTGGAGTTTCTACCCGAAGAGCTCTTCTTCTGTCGCAAGCTGCGGACGCTGCTCCTAGGTTACAACCACTTGAGCCAGCTCGCGCCCCAGGTGGGGGCCCTCAGGGCCCTCAGCCGCCTGGAGCTCAAGGGCAACCGGCTGGAAGCACTGCCGGAAGAGCTTGGCAACTGTGGGGGGCTCAAGAAGTCGGGGCTGCTGGTGGAGGACACACTTTACGACGGGCTGCCGGCCGAGATACGGGACCGGATGGAGGCGGAGTGAAGCCAGGGAGGGAGGACAGGTTGAGGTCAACGCCTCCTGGATGCTACCGCCCCGGAATCTACCATTATCTTCAAGGGAGGTGGCCAAGTGGGCCCCAGCCAGGAGACAAGGAACAGACATGTCAGGTTGATGGAGCCCAGGCAAGATCCTGAGACTGGTTTGTCTGGGAGGCTGTGGATTTAGGGTGGAACATCCTGGAGAGATTAACTCAGTCAGAAGACTCTCAGACCAAAACCACACCCGTGTCTTTGGCTTGGCTCACCTGCCCCTAGCCTTGGGCCAGAGATGCTGCCCTCCCCCAGACAGCAACCACAGTACCCCATATGGAGAGTGCGGTGGGGGAGGCTCATCCCAATGGGATTTCAACCCTTTCCCCCTGACCAAAACAGCTTACATCTGGGGTTTTCTCCCAATGAGGGGACACAGACATAAGGGACCACCCCCACCCCCCCAATTTTGATATTAATCTCCTATTTATAAGTTGCTTGCTATGGACACCTGAACTCAGAAAGCAATGGTTCTCATATTTGGCTGAAATCAACATCTCCAAAACAAAACATCCCAGGCCCCACCCTTGAAAGGCTGACTCAGGACGTTGGCTGGAGGCCAGGAACTTGCTGGTAAACAAGCATTCCAGGTAATTCTGATTCTGACCATCCCAGGCCTGAATGTTGGAAATGCTGACCTACAGAGTAGATATCTGGGTGTCGAGAGCAGGGATTCTGAATTTGGTTTTAGATCCCTAGATGCCTTGAGAAATCTGATGAAAGCTGGGCACCTCCTTCCTCAGGAAAATGCTCCTGTTCACATAAGTTAAAAGCTCTGCAGGCAACTTAAAGCAATCAACATTCCCCCAGATCCCCCAGGGGGATTGGAACACCTGCAAGGGTGGTACAGTTTTCTGTAGGCTGGGGCTTTCTTTCAATATTCCCTATGTGAAGGAGTGTATATCAGTGGGTGCTTAATAAATAACACTATGAGAACTATACTTTTTTTTTTGGCTGAGCTGGGCCTTCCTTGCTGCACTCAGGTGTCCTCTAACCGTGGTGCATGGGTTTCTCATTGTGGTCACTTCTCTTTTGCAGAGCACAGGCTCAGTAGCTCCAGCACAAGGGCTTAGTGGCTCCGTGGCAAGTGGAATCTCCCCAGGCCAGGAATCGAACCCATATCCCCCGTGTTGGCAGGTGGATTCTTACCCAGCCCAGGGAAGTCTGAGAATGATAAGTCTGATCCCTTGTGTCCACTCCTGCCGTTGTCTAAGGTTTCTATTCCACCAGACCAAGTACAGGCAAGTGGCAACAGTCAGCTTCCAGAATCAAGGCTATAAGCCTCTTCCCTGGGAGCAGAGGCAAAGAGAGACCTCAGTTAACCAGGAGACATCAGGTGGTCGTCTACCTAGCCTTTCTCTGGTAGAACTGCCTGTCCTTTACATTCAGTTATTCTCATGGCTCCACAGTTTTGGATCTGCTTCACCCGTAAATTGTCATCAGGAGAGTCATCAAAAACCTTCAACACCCATCAGTTTTCTCGTGCTAGAGTGGGCAGGGCCTTGGCACAGACTGCCCAACCCTGACCTCCTGGGATCCCCACCTCCATGGTGTCTTCAACATGTGAGCCTCTTCCAGGCACCAGAGAGCAGAAGCAAGCTGCTCACCTGGGCGCCCCAGGGTTCCTGATGGGGACATTTTCCGAGCACTCTTCAGACCAGCTGAAGAAAATGTGTAGGTGGTGAAGACACCAGGTGGAGGAACCAAACCCCAGGTCCTAACTCTGCATTGTCCCGGAGCTAAACAGATGAGGGATGTCTTCAAATTTCCCACGGCCAGTCTGACTTGGAACTCTCTAGCCTTGACCTTGGCCCCACGTCGCTGAGGGCAGGGATCACGCCGCTGGATTCCCACCGTCCAGGCAGTGGCCCAAACCCTACCCCGCCCATCCTTCAAGTCCTCGTGGCCAACCCTGACCCCGCTGAAATGGAAAGGGCTTCCCACAGGTGCCTAATTATGGTGAGTAGGCAGCAATTAAACACAACAGGGACCGTAACGAAGCACTGTCCGAGATGAGAAAGGCAGTTTTGGAAGGCGTGGGTGCCAGCTAGGGCCGGCCGGGAAAAGAGAACGAATCTGAGGATAGCCTGGCGACCACCGGGGACAGCGGCAGGAAATTTAAAAAAAGAGAGAGAGCGAGCGAGGGGCCAGGAACGCGCATGCGCAGCAGACGGCACGCGCGTACTCTCGTTTCCCCTTCTGTGCGCCTGCGCGCTGCTTTCTCCTCCCATGGCTCTGTGTGAGTGGTGAGTGGGTTTTCAAACAGCGCCTCCTGCCGGAGCTCTCGGGGATTTGCACATGCGCATCACACTGGAAGGATGTGTACGCTGCCACCCGCGAGCTCTAGGAGGCGTCACCCCTCCGGCTGGGACGAAGCACGCACGCGCGGAGGTTCGCACGCGGGAAGGGCGGTGCGCGCCCAGGGCATGCGCCGTGCAGAGCGAGACGGCGGCTCGGCGGGGTCATCCAAGCGCAGGCGCAGTGCGGTGTTTGTCTGCCGGACTGACGGGCGGCCGGGCGGTGCGCGGCGGCGGCGGCGGCGGGGAAGATGGCGGCGTCCTCCCTGGAGCAGAAGCTGTCCCGCCTGGAAGCAAAGCTAAAGCAGGAGAACCGCGAGGCCCGGCGGAGGATCGACCTCAACCTGGATATCAGCCCCCAGCGGCCCAGGCCCAGTAAGCACGGCAGCATGGGGGAGGGGGCGGGCGGGGCGGGGCGCGCGCCGCGGGAGGCCCCGCCCCCGCCGCCAGGCCCCGCCCCCGCTTCCGGGGCGCTCTTGCTCCTCCTCCTCTCCGCCCGGCTCCCCGCTGTCGGCCTGCGGGGAGAGGGTCACGGTGACCCGGGGGTCGTGGGGCCCGTGAGCTCCCCGTCAGTCCTCACCCTGCCTCGGGGCTCCCCCTAATGGGGCCTGGGAACCTAATTAGTTATCGGCTCCAGGGCGAGGCCCTCCATCTGATGACCCGCCCCCAATCACCGGGAACCTCGGAGCCTCTGTCACCTACTCTTGAGCCTTGGTGCTCCTACTCTATGCAGCCATGACCACATCCAGCTCCTCCGTATACGTGTACACATCCCTTTTCACCAGCTGATTCCAAGATTCAAGAGGTCCCCTCCCCCGCCACCTGGGTCCTTGTCAGCCGGGTTCAGCAGATGACACAAGTGCACCTGACCTGGGGACAGCTGACGTCGCTGGACCATGTATAACTGCCCCAGTGATTGTGTCTAGTGCTCCCTTCTTCCCCGCTCTGAGATCTTGTCACTGGTTCAGCAGACTTCCTGCCACCTACCTTTTTACCCACCGAAGCCAGGCCCCTCCTCATACTCCTCGGACTAGTTTCACTGCCACCATCTTTCTGGATTCTCCAGAAATAAATACGCAGCTTCCAAGTGTGGCAACTTTGTCACCTTGAATCAAGTGACTCCCCCTTCCACACACAGCCCAGGGACACCTGAGGCCAGTGTGAGGCTACCTGGGCATCCCAGGATAAACACGTATCGCTCCTTTGTGATCCCACGATCTCAGCGCCTGTCTGTCCGGAATCCTGTCCTCTGGCATCAAGAGCTGCCCCTCAACACCCGCACCTGGCCCGGGATCACCATGCGACATCTAGTCTGCTTGTAACGTCCTGCGGAACCCTTCCGCACATCCTGGAAGCTCACAGGGAGTCAGATTTTCCCCCTTCCTACTGACCTGATTAAGAGCATCCTCCACACATGCTTTTTCTTCTTTATATAACTTTTTTGGCCACTTCTTGCGGTATTCAGGATCTTAGTTCCACGACCAGGGATGGAACCTGTGCCCCCTGCCTGCATTGGAAGTGCAGAGTATAAACCACTGGACTACCAGGGAAGTCCCCTCCCACACATGCTTTCTGTGTCTCTCTTGACCCAGCAAATTCCCCTTGTTAACCCCATTGATATGACTTGTGGCTTATGTAGCTCCCTGTCGGCCCATCTTGAGAGGTGGGGAAGATAGCTGCTCATCTGGGTATTCCCACCACCCCCTCATCACCCCCCATTCTCGTATATGGTCCACTCCCCACCCTCCCTTTTCTGCCCTTGGTCCGTGTGGGCTCCTTACTGGAGTGGGGAGGGGTCTCTAGGGGCCCCAGAAGACCCCTGAGGCAGCAATGCTGTGTTAAGACTCTGGGGTAGGAAGCCCAGCCAGGACTGGAGGGTCCCCACCAGGCTCTTCAGCGCTGCTCCCCCTCCAGCCCCAGCGTGGATGAGACAGGCCCGGAAAGGGCCGGGGGTGCCTGGCAGGGTGGCTGTCCCAGGTGGGCAGGGAGGCACAGGGAGACCCACGGAGAACATGCCCTGGGGAGCCCCCTCCTGGCACCTGTGTCTGTCAGCTCCATCCCATCCTTTCAGCCCTCCCATCTCTGTTCTCTGCAGTTTGGTGCCGCGTGCCTCCCCCCTCCTCCTTGTTATGATTTGATTTTCTTTTCTTTTGGACAAATCAGTTGTTTCTGTTGTGATTTATTGTGGTGTTGTTTTTCTTTTTTTTTTTTCTTCCTTTTCCCCATCCAGTTATTGTGATCACTCTAAGCCCTGCTCCTGCCCCGTCCCAACGAGCAGGTACCAGCCTTTTTATCATCGCTGCTTGGATCTCTGCACCATTGACCTAACCGCTGCCCTGGCCGCAGAATGCCATCCCTCCTCCCCCCTCCTCATGCTCCGTGTGTGCGTGTGCGTCCCCCCGTCCCACCCTCACTCTCTCTCCAAACACACGGTCAACGTCTGGCCCACCCGGGCACTTCCTCTGTGTCCTGTCCCCTCCTGCTCCTCTGTTTCTCTCGGGCTCAGGTCTGCACTCCCCGCAGGAGGAAACAGACTCCCTCCCCTGCCAGGAGTCTGTCGCCTGCTGAGGGGGTCCCGAGTGTCCATGCGCGTGCCTGCAGGCATGTGTGTGTGTGTGCGCACGCGTGTGTGTAAGTGGAGGGAGGGAAGGTTGGGCTCCCTACCTGTTGATCCACCTCATCAGCTCAGCGGACCCGTGTCGCCCCCACCCTGTGCTGAGCAGGCCTGGACTGAGCCCATCTGTTCCAGGGGCTGGTGCTCCCCTGGGGGTGGAAGGCCCTGGGGGTTGGAGGGTCCTCTGGGCAGGGAGAAGTGGAAGAGGCCCTGTGCCTTGGAGGAAAGGCCCAGTGGAGCAGGGTCATGGGTTCTGCAGGATTGGGGGTGGGGGGTGGGGGGCGGTGGTTGGGAAGCCTGGGGAGAAGGTGGCATTTGAGCAAAGTCTCCTGGGAGGTGGGGGAGCACAGGAGTGGAAGGAAACAGCCCCCCAGGGCCCAAGAGGGAGCCAGGCGTGCCTGTGGGGAAGGTGGGGGATGGGGGGCAGGCTGGCCTCATTGATCCTTCTGTGTGGAATAGGACTGGGTTGGGAAGTATGTGTGTGCTTGTGTGTGTGTATAAGTAAGAACAGGAGGGAGAGCTGGCTCTGTCGGTCCTGTGGCGTGGCGTCTGCACGTGCTTGTGGGTTCATGCCGTGCCCTGTGTGTGTGCGCGCGTGTGCTCGCTGACAGCCTGGCAGGCTGCATGCTCCACCCTGCCCCACCGCCCTGTGTCTCCCTCACCCTCACTCACTCATCCTCCTCTTTTCCGTCTCCCCATCAGTCTCTCACTCTCGTTCTGCCTTCTTGACTTGCCGTGGGCCCGGCACCACCTGTGTGATCTCTGTTCTCAGGGCCTCTGTGTACCTCCCCCCTGCCTTACCCCCCTCAGCCATCCTGCACCGGCCCCTCTTAAACACCTACCGTGCTTCAGTTTGTGGGACCGGCTGGAAGCCTCTCTCCCCCCACAAGCTGCCTTGGCCCCAGGCTCTGGGGGAGCCTTCAGAGGGCCCGGTGGACTGTGTGAGGGGTGGGGGTGGGGGGCCGACAGGGCACAGAGAGGCCTAGGGAGGGGAGGGGGGTGGTCCTCACCCCGGGAGCCGATGACAGCGTGGGGCAGCCTGCCAGGGATCCAGGGTCCCAGAGCTTGAGGGTCTTTGGGAGCCCTGGAGGGTGTCCAGCCAGAGAGGGAGGGTTTAGGACCAGACTTCTGGCCGTGGTAGAGCAGGGAGGGCACCGGAGGAGAGGCCTCTGGGCCAGTGAAGGGGACTGGGCTCAGCCACGTCCTCGGGCTCCCAGGTCTCTTCCATCACTCTCACCAGGCCCTCCTGGGACTGGCAGGCCAGGCTCAGAGGTCTGCTCCTCGCTCTGGCTGCGACCAAGGTCGTAGGCCAGCAGGGCACAGAAAGTGCCTGGGCGCCAAGAGCCACACTGTATCTGTCTGCCCATTGGTCACTGGGCCCACGTCACCAGGCGCCTGCAGAACTTGCAGGGGAGAAGCTCCCGCCGCCCCCCCGCCCAGCTCCCAGCCCACTCTCCAAGGGGAGGTGAACCTGGGAGGGTGCTTGTAGCCTTCAGCCTTCCCAGCCAGGGGCTCCCTTCTGGAGGCCGAGTGCCAGGGTCTCTGAGGTTCACGGGTTCCCTGGAGAGTCGTCCATCTTTTCCAGGGCCACTCTGGCCTCTGCTCCCACTCTGTGGCCTGCCTGGCCCGGAGGCTCCTTGTCCATCAGGGGGCTGCTCTCCTGTCCCCAGCTCCTCTCTGGCCTGTCTCTGCAGAGCCTCTTCTGGGCAGCTGGGCCCCAAGTCTCAGCTCCCATCTGTCTGTCTCCCACCCTCCCGTCCCCTAACGCCGCCTGCCCGTCCTGGGGTGCCCGCTGCCTGCCCGCTGCCTGCCCGCCTGCCTGTAGCATGCCCAAGCTGTCCGCATGCAGGCTTCTGGAAAGAACCGAGCTCCCCTCCTGGCCTGGCCCCCGTCCCTGGAGCCCTGGAGGGGCTGGGTCAGCTGGCTCCCTTTACCTGAAGGACACAGGTCCAGCTCGGGCTCCTGCCCCGGCCGCATTGGCCCCAGCTCTGCAGGCCAGGCCGGAGGCTCACAGAGTCTGCTGGCCAGAGGGCAGCCCTCCCTGACCCTGAAACAGAACAGGCGAGGCAGCCGGAAGCCTGGGTCCCTCACCCACTCTCTCACCAGTTCAGCGTTGCCAGCTTCTGGGGGCAGTGGCCCTGGGCCTCTTACCGGGCAGAGTGGGGAGGAAGGGGCCCCAGGGTGGGGCGGCCTACCTGCCCAAGGTCCACTAGCAGCCTCAGGGCCTCCTTTCTCTATCAGGGAATACTTGGGATGAACCCTCAGCCTCTGGGGACCACCCTTCCCCCAGGGCCCGCTACAAGCCCTTCCCAGTCAGGGGGGCCAGGAGAAAGCACCCCGAGAGTGGCCTAGGAGCAGGGCGCTCCCCGTCTACCAGGGCTGGGGGCTGTGCTGGCCCACCTGAGGGATACCGGGGAGGGAAGGATGGGGGCTCCAGGCCCTGCAGTTGGGGCCAGCCGGGACCTAACCCCCTCCCCACCCCTGGTTCTCACCACCCCCCAGCCCTGCAGCTCCCACTGGCCAACGATGGGGGCAGCCGCTCACCGTCCTCCGAGAGCTCGCCGCAGCACCCCACACCCCCCGCCCGGCCCCGCCACATGTTGGGGCTGCCTTCAACCTTGTTCACACCCCGCAGCATGGAGAGGTGAGCCACCTGGGGGATGGTTGGGAGATCAGGGGGTGCAGGGCCAGCCTTGGGGTGGCACTGGTGAGCTGTGTGGAACCCCCTGTGTGTTGGAGGCTGGGGTCACCTCATGTTGGTCAGGACCCCCCCCTCCACCGGCACCCACTCCCTCTCCATTCAGCATCGAGATTGACCAGAAGCTGCAGGAGATCATGAAGCAGACGGGCTACCTGACCATCGGGGGCCAGGTAACGTGACGCACTTCCCTTGGCAGCCCCAGGGAGGGTGGGCGGGAGAGCTGGTAAATGTGGGCCGGGGGTGAGGGCAGCAGCCTGCTGGATCCCCAGCCCTGGCTCTCCTCGCCAGCGCTACCAGGCGGAGATCAATGACCTGGAGAACCTGGGGGAGATGGGCAGTGGCACCTGCGGCCAGGTGTGGAAGATGCGCTTCCGGAAGACGGGACATGTCATTGCTGTCAAGGTGAGCCCGCCCCGCCCTGCCCATGGGAGCTCAACCCCCTCCATGTCCGACGGGGGCCCCGTGCCCCAGGCTCCGCGCTAAGCCCTCGGCTGTCCTGTGCAGCAAATGCGGCGCTCGGGGAACAAGGAGGAGAACAAAAGGATCCTCATGGATTTGGACGTGGTGCTCAAGAGCCACGACTGCCCCTACATTGTGCAGTGCTTCGGGACTTTCATCACCAACGTGAGACGAGGGCTCCCCCCAACTCCCCCATCTCCTCCCCCAGGCCCTGAGCCTGTTGGGTGGGCAGAGGGGTACAGCCACTGCTGTCCCTGCAGACGGATGTCTTCATCGCCATGGAGCTCATGGGCACGTGCGCGGAGAAGCTGAAGAAGCGGATGCAGGGCCCCATCCCCGAGCGGATCCTGGGCAAGATGACGGTGGCAGTGAGTGGCCTGGAGGGTGCAGGTGGGCAGGCAGGTGACCCCCCAGCCTCAGCCTCCACGTCACTGACCAGTGCCCTCCCCTGCCTATGCTGCAGATTGTGAAGGCGCTCTACTACCTGAAGGAGAAGCATGGCGTGATCCACCGTGATGTCAAGCCCTCCAACATCCTGCTGGACGAGCGGGGCCAGATCAAGCTCTGTGACTTCGGCATCAGTGGCCGCCTGGTCGACTCCAAAGCCAAAACGCGGAGCGCTGGCTGTGCCGCCTACATGGCAGTAAGTGGGGGGCCCCAGGGGTGCCAGTGGGAGGGGTGCCGGCGGGAGTGGTGGCACACCCACCCCAGCCCCAGGGGTCCATCACCCTCTCCTACCGGCAGCCCGAGCGCATCGACCCCCCGGATCCCACCAAGCCTGACTACGACATCCGGGCCGATGTGTGGAGCCTGGGCATCTCCTTGGTGAGTTGGGTCCCCGGCTTTTGGAGGCTGGGTTTTCTTGGGGCGTGGAGGCAGGCAGTGGCAGCAGAAAGGGCAGGGCCCCCTCCTCCTTGGCCAGCCCAGCCCTGCCCATTTCTCTCCCAGGTGGAGCTGGCGACAGGACAGTTCCCCTACAAGAACTGCAAGACGGACTTTGAGGTCCTCACCAAAGTCCTCCAAGAGGAGCCCCCGCTCCTGCCCGGACACATGGGCTTCTCGGGGGACTTCCAGTCCTTCGTCAAAGACTGGTGAGCACCCCCAGCCCTGCCCTCCAGTCTGGAAGGCAGGGCGAGGTTAGACATGACCCTGAGCTTAGGCCACTGGGGTGGGGTGAAGGGCCCCCTGGGATGGCGGTGGGGGGCTGCAGATTGGAACCAGAGCCCAAGCCCTAGGGGCTAGAAGTTGGGTCCAGACTCAGCCACAGGGGACCCCTAGCCCTGGGGTGTTTGGCAGGGTGGTCCTTGGGCTTCACCAGGGAACTGTGAATGAGCACAGGTATCCCAGGCCTGAGAGCTGGGTCCACACAGGAGCTCCCGTGGGAGGGGAGGAGCCCACCCATCTACCCACCCCACAACCTACCTACTTCTCCCATGGGCATCTCACAGCGTGTGTCAGGCTTCTGTCACAGATGAGGGGCCTGAGTGCCAACCCCGGCTCCTCTGTCAGCACAAGGCTTGGGGGGCGGGGAGGACATGGGCTCTGGCCTGCAGATCCAGCAGCCCTGACTCAGTGGGGCAGCCAGCCAGGCCTCTTCTCCTGGCTCTCATTTCTCTCCTCTCTCTCTTTCTCCAGCCTTACTAAAGATCACAGGAAGAGACCAAAGTATAATAAGCTACTTGTGAGTACCCAGGACCCCTCTCAGCCCCCATCCAAAAACCCCTGCCCCACTGGAGGCCAGGCGGCCAGGGAAGAGACACCCTGGTCCTGAGCCCCACCCCCTTGGGTCCCCAGGAACACAGCTTCATCAAGCGCTACGAGACGCTGGAGGTGGACGTGGCGTCCTGGTTCAAGGATGTCATGGCGAAGACCGAGTCACCGAGGACAAGCGGGGTCCTGAGCCAGCACCACCTGCCCTTCTTCAGGTAGCCGCACGGCTGCGGCCGGCCCGCTGGGGGATGCGGCCTCAGGCCCCCCTGCCCTGCACAGTCCCCCAGCTGCCCACCAGGGGAGCCCTGGGACCCGGACGGCCGACGAGGGCTGAGGACAGATAGTAGGGGGCGCCGACCCACCCCCTGACTCCCTGCCCACCAGCCGTGGACAGATGGGCCTGCCAGGCCCCAGCCCTTTCCCGTCCTGGGATCAGCCGGCCGTACACGTCCCCCAACCCCGACAGACACTGTGAACGGAAGACAGCAGGCCGCGAGCAGTCTCGCTATTTATTCAGTTGTAACCTCTGGGCTGGGGCGGCCCCCAGGGGTCGGGAGAGAGCCGCCATTCCCTGCACCCTCCCACACCGCGCTGTCCCCATCTCCCCCTCCATGCACACATGCGCCCTGGCTCCATCTCCCTCTCTGCCACTTCCCTCTCTACCTCTCTGGCTTTCCCCGTCTCCCTCCCTGCCTCTGCCTCTCTCCTGGCCCAGGCCCTGCCACCCCTGGCAGGACCCCTGGGTCCACTTAGGTCCCTGGCCAGTGATGAGCCAGTTGGCGGGCGCCCTTCCCCCGGCAGGCAGGCTGGACATTGTGACTGCAGCCAGACCTGGCTGGTCTCTCTCTTTCTCTCTCTCTCTTTGATCTCAGGGGGTCCTTTTTGGAGTTCATTGTATTTTATTGTACTTGGTGGGGTGTTTGGGGGTGGGGGGAGGAGAAGAGCTTGTTCTCATGGGCTTTGTTGGTACCTTCAGAAACTTTTACCAAAGTCGTGTTTAGCTGCTTGTGGCGGCAGCCCCCCGAACCGCCTCTGGGTACTGGGGGGCTGGGCTGGGGGCTGAGCCGTGGGGGCTCGGGCCACCACCTGGGAGACACTAGTCCCAAAGGTGGGCTCTGGGGGTGGGGGATTGCTCCTCCCTCAGGGCTGGAGACTGGCCAAGCTTGCAGGGGTGAGTGGAGGACCTCAGGGGGTATGGAGGAAGCCCAAGGGGCCATGGCCACACAGGGTGGCCTTCAGGGACAGTAGGCGCGGGGCGTGGTGGAGGGCAGCCGGCGCTGGTGTGGCAGGGAGGTGGCGGAGGGAACGGGTGACAGGAGGGGGTCCATGGGGCCCCGGGAGGCAGGGATGAGGGTGCACGGATTGGACGCGGGGGTTCGAGGATGTGTTGACAGGGACAGAGGTGGGAGCAGGCCAAGGGCTGGGCGTGTGCAGGCAGTTACGCCCTTGTAGTGGCCCTCGAGTGCCCCTCGACTCACCCGGAGCTGGCCAGTGCCCAGCCCACCCTGAGGCCCCGGCATCCATGGGGCCCTGGGCAGCAAGCAGCCAGAGCAGGAGGGACTGTTTCCTTGTTGTTGGTGACGCATGCAAATCAAGTGGACAGTAGAACAAAATAACGTAACAGGAAAAAAAAAGGAAAAAGAAAACCCCAGAAAAACCACAAAAATCAACCAACACCAAAGGTGAGGAACCTCGCTGGATGTAGCTGAAGCAATCTAGACTAGGCATCATTGTACCCTCCATTTATCTCACCGAATCTAGTTACTACTAGGGTAGTCACAAAACGCCGCATGTTTAAAAAGTACTCGAAGTCATCTTTGTCCCCCGCCCCAGGGGGTGGCCACCTTTTCTTGCTCCAGTCCCCTTTGTGAGGGGAGGGGGGCAGGGTGTGGGGCCAGTAGGCATGGCCTCTGCCCTCCCTTGCCAGGGGCCTTTCTGGGTAGCTGGGAAGGTTGCATGGCCAGCCCCAAGGCCCGCACAGGCCTGAGGCCAGCTGCCTGGGTTTAATTTTTATTTAACTTTATTTTCTGTTTTGTGTGTGAGTGTCCACCCATGTCCCCCTCCCCTTCAGTGTTAAATGGAAGCCTCTCCTTCCCCACCCCCCCGCCACCCATGTCTCCCTCCCCACGCCCCCCAGTCACCAGCCACCCCCCTCTCAACCAGGCAGAGGGCAGAGTGGGCAGCCAGGGGCCTGGGGTGGCCTGGCCCAGCCCATTGGCCCCCCACCCCTTCTCAGGCCGCCAGTATTGCCCCATCCCTTTTTAAAACAAAATGCCCTCGTTTGTAAATCCTTAGACGCTTGAGAATAAAACCCCTCCCTTTTCTTCCACTTGAGTCTGTGGTGTGTGTCCTGAGCCTGGCAGCAAGGTGGGAAAAGGGGAAGGGGTCCTGAGGCCTGACCTTGGAAGTGGGGGGCTGGGAGCCATTCTAGTGGACAAGGCCTATGCAGTGAGGGGAGGCAGGGCTGGGGGCCAGAGGGATTGTTTGTAGTGACTTGCCGCATATTTAATGGCCAGTGTGTGGGACCTTCCCCTAACCTGATAGCCACAGGTCCGGTGGGAGAGCCCTTAATCCCCGGCAGGCCTTGGGCGCCAGCTCTGATGTCGACCCAACAGTCTGCCGCCCCCATTCCTTGCCTCCTGAAGTGGCCACCCAGTCAAGGACAGGGCCGCCTGCCCACCTCCTGGGTGTGCGTGCTGCCTGGCTGGCGCCTCTGCCACCAGCTCTGCATGCTCTCACCTCAGCCAGGCCAGCATGCTGGGCACCGCGCTCCTGCTGCTGGCCCTGCTCCTGGGGCCCACCGCCTTGCCCAGCGAGCCAGCTGGTATGTACAGGCAAGGGGACGTGGCCTGGCACAAACCCGTTCCTGTGCTGCCCTATCAACGAAACCTCTCATCTACCCTGCCTGGGGGAACGGGGGTGGGTGGGTGGAAGGTGGGGTCTCCCCCACCCCCGATTCCAGGTTGTCTTGGATCCCCAACTTCAAACTCCCCAGCAGCCATGGGGAGGCTAAGGGCTGTGGGAGGGGAGTGGTCTGCACAAATGATCTTGGGTACTGTGCATGGGTGATCCTGAACGTTTAGATAACATCCTTTGAGAAGAACATAGTCGAGTGCCTCCTGAAGGCAGATGGGGGTAGTGGGGTGACCACACACCCCAGTGGGGGCTCCCCGGTGCATATTCCCTTTGCTGCTGCTGCCCTCAGTCCAGAAGTGAGGAGCCAGAGATGGGGAAAAGCCCCGGACCCTGGTGGCCAGGCTGGGCTTCCATGATGCCGAAAGGGTTGGAGGAAGACCCCCTTGCTATTATCCCCAAACCTTAGAAAGGAAAGGGTGGGGTCAGCATCGTCCCCCCTAGACGGCCCTGCTGTGATCCCAAAGCAGTCCCTGGTCCTGGGTGGGTGGGGGGAGGAAAGGACCTCTTTGCTCACCCAGACTGACCATCCACCATCAGGCGCCCCTCAGCCCCGCCCCTGCTGGGGATCCTTTGCCCGCTGCAGGTGGAGAAGACGGGGTCTGGAAAAAGGGGAGCCTCCCCAGGAAGGTGCAGCTTTGCGTCCAGTCTCAGGGGCTGGGCTGGGACGTCCTGGGGGTCTCCAGGGGGTACATCACAGCAGGTTTATGGCTGAGGGAGTGAGGCACAGAGCCGAACGCAGGTGAATCCTCCACCACAACTGCATCCATCTTCCAAAGAAGGCAGGGAAGGCGGGAGGTGGGCCGGGGGAACCAAGAGACAGCGCGTCCTCCCTCTCCTGTGCCACTCTTTCTCCCCGCCAGAGCACCCGTTCCCTGCGGCGCCCGCGCCCTGGCTGCGCCGACCCCTTTTCAGTCTGGAGCTCTCGGATGCGGAGGACGGCTTCCCGCGCCGTGCGGGGCCGCTCGAGGTCCCAGCGGACAGCCGCGTGTTTGTGCAGGTAGACGCGGGACGCACGGAGGCCGGGTGAGGGCCGGTGGGGGCTGCCGATCCTGATGGCGACCCCGCCCCCCAGGCGTCCCTGGCCCATCCCTCCCCGCGCTGGGGCTTGGCCCTGCACCGCTGCTCCGCTGCTCCGTAACACCGTCCTCTCGTCCGGCCCCGGGCCCCGCCCTGGCGCTGCTGCGCGGGGGCTGCTCCGCCGACTCCTCAGTCACCTTCCCGCCACCGCGGCCGCTCCTCGGTGCCGCCCGTCCCGCGCGTTTCAGCTTTCGCCTGCGCCCGGTCTTCAACGCCTCTGTGCAGTTCCTGCACTGCCAACTGAGTCGCTGCCGCCGCCTCCGCAGAGCCCGCTGGACGCCTGCGCCTTTGACAATGCCTCCAATGTCCCCGGTGCGAGGGCGCAGGACCGGGAACCTCGGCGCCCGGGCCCATCAAGGGTTGGGCGCAAGCGCCTCTGACATCCGAGGGAGAAACTCCTTAGGGTTTGGACATCTGGGTGCTTTTAGACCTGGGGGCGGTGGTTATCTCGAAACTGGGAGTAGGTACTGGGTCTCAGGCTGGGGTTGGGGGCAGAGACGTCCGAAGGGGCCATTTTTCCAGGGTTCTAGTGATGCGATCCCTGGTTGCAACAGAGTGCTGGACACTTAGATCTGCCCGCGGCCCAGTCCGTGGAGTCCGGCCCCTGACATTCCCGTCTCTTGTGCCCCCTTTCCTCGCAGTGTCTGCCTCAGGATGAGGCGTGTGCGGGGGCCAGCAGTGGCAGCGATGAGAGCCCGGGTGCTGACAGCCCCCACCTGCACACACTGACGCAGCCCTCGTAGTGACTGTGCCACGGCTGCCCTCCAGTGAGCGCGCAGCAGTCCTCCGCGGGGGGATCTCTGGGGTCCAGAAGGGGGTGGGGAGGACATCTGGGGCCTGATCCCAGTCTTAGCGCTGTACTTCTCACAGGGCTACCCAAGGGCTTCCCCGGCAGAGCTGTGCGCCCCGAGTCCTCCGCGCCGGCCCCGCAGGCCCTGGAGCCCACGCCGGTGGTAGCGCTAGTGTTGGCCGCTTTCGTGCTGGGCGCCGCTGTGGCCGCCGGGCTCAGCCTTGTGTGCGCGCACTCAGGTACCAAACTCCGCCCTCCAAGATCTCCGCCTGGCCCCCAGTCTATTCCAGCGCGTTGGCCTGCTCCGCCCTGAACATCCCTAGACCGGCCTCCGCTACGCCCGCAGCAGCCTCCAGGGGTCGCCCTAGCTCCGGCCCTGCTCACCGCAACCCCCTGCTCCTCAGCTTCCCACTCTTCTCCAGCGCCCCAACTCCCCGGTCAGCCCCCGAGAGCCTCGCCCAGCGGCCCCCCGCCCAGGAGGCCCCAGTGAGGCAGGTAAGTGTCGGGGTGCAGGAAGGAGGGAGAGTGTAACGTGGGGCCGGTTAAGACAGATGGAGGAGGGAGGTGATGACAATGATCTTCATAGCCAGTTCTTTCGGAGAAGGCAATGGCACCCCACTCCAGTACTCTTGCCTGGAAAATCCCATAGACGGAGGAGCCTGGTAGGCTGCAGTCCATGGGGACGCGAAGAGTCTGACAAGGCTGAGCGACTTCACTTTCACTTTTCACTTTCATGCCATTGGAGAAGGAAATGGCAGCCCACTCCAGTGTTCTTGCCTGGAGAATCCCAGAGACGGCGGAGCCTGGGGGGCTGCTGTCTATTGGGTCGCACAGTGTCGGACACGACTGAAGCGACTTAGCAGCAGCAGCAGCAGCAGCCCGTTCTTTCTGCCAGGCGGAGTTCCAAATGATTAACGCATATTAATCCTTGCAAAAACTTTCTGCTATAATCCCCATAAGGAAAATGAGGCACTCTCTGAAATGGACTTGCCAAAGGTCACAAAAATTTAGTGGAACTGGTATTCGAACTCAGGTGGTGGGTGACCCGTAGCCGACTGCGGGTTTAGTGTCGTGAGAAAGGATCTCAACACCTCACACAGGCACTAGGCAAAGAGAATTCGGGTTTCAGACTCTCCCCAGTTTCATCCACTCTCACCCGGCCACGCAGACTGATGGGGCGGTGGGCGATGGGTTGAGAAGGGGGTGACCAGCCTTAGCGTCCTCTCCCCGCTCAGCCTGAGTCGCCTCTTTCCAGAGATGGAGCGCCCACAGCAGGATCCGGAGACAAACCAGCCACGGCCTCGTATTAGGCCCGCCAGCACCTGGGACTCGATGGGACTACGATCTCTGCGCCCCGCCCTCCTTGCTTCTCCTCCTACCCTCCCACCTGGGCCCAAAATAAACCTCTGGCCTGGACTGCGGCTTTCTGAAGTCCGCGCGTGCGCATGGCGCGGGGTTGGGGATTCCGGGCCGGAAGAGGTCCAGACTGGAGGGGTGGGGCTTTGAGGCGGGGCTCACGCTCCCTTATACACGTGTGCAAATACCGCCCACGGGCATTTTGTCCCTAACAAAAGGGAACACCCAATCCTGACAGCTTCGTCCCGTCTCCTCCTCCAAACCTGCACCAGCTCATCGGCCTTCTCGAAACCTCTCCGCTCTCCACTCCCACCGCCCGGACCCTGCCCTTGCTAAGACCTCGAGCTCAAGTCTCTGCTTCAAGCTCCTCTCCGTCTAGCCTTAAGGTCCTTAAATCCCTCCTGCCTGACCTCACCCTCCTTAGAGTATAGACAAGGGCGGGATTTTAGCTCCATTTTACAGCTGAGGAAACTGAGGCTCGGGAGGTCACATCACTTAAATCGCCAATCTGGGCTATCCGACCCCACAGCTGAGGTTCTTGGCTACAAAGCACATAACAGGAGTTTCACAAGACTTATTCCTGGAATGGAGGGAAGGGATGAGATCTAAGGTCTCGGCTTCAGTTCACGAATGAGACAATGCGGGCGGTGGGGTCTCGTTCGCTTTAGCCTCAGTTAGATACCAGTCCCCATCGCTTCTGCTGTAGGCAGTTCCCTACGGCCTGCAAACGCAGAACCACGCCCCCATCCAATTCTGCTTCCGCGCGGGGCATTTGGACCGAGAGGCCACCGTAACCCCGCCCACCAAGGAAACACTCCGGAACGACGCCGACGCCCTCACCCGCCTCACCGGCATGAAGCCACCGCAGCGGCGGCGAGCGATCCCGAGGCGCTATCTGGTTGAAGTGACTGGCCCCGCGGCCTGGAGAGCCAGCGAGAAGCGGCAGCTGTTACGACTACTGCAGGCGCGACAGGGCCAACCAGAGCTGGACGCCGCCGAGCTGGCCCGAGAGTTGCCGGGCCGGAGCAAGACCGAGGTGAGAAGAGTCCCGAAATAGGAGCAAGGCTGGAGGCGGAGCTAGGATGTGTCCGGGGCTGGCAGAGGGGCGGGCCTTGAGGGTGGGCTGGATGTAAGTAAGGCTTGGGGGCGGGGCCTTGGAGTGGCCCTGTTGAGGGTGAGGCGGGGACTAGGCCGAGGTTGAGGAACCGGAAGAACGGCGGAGGAGGCGGGACTAGTGCAAGGCTGGGCCTTGTGTGGCTGCGAGAAGCTGAGGGCGGGGTGAGGACGGGACAGAGTGAGTTGAGGGGCGGGGCGAGGAGGAGGTCGTGTCGCAGAAGTCGGAGGGGCGGAGCGAAGGCAAAATTTAGGGGCGGGGCGAGCTCTGAGTTTGATCGGAGGCCCCAGAATGGGTCTTCCCTGCTAGCTCAGTTGGTGAAGAAATCTGCCTGCAATGCAGGCGGCACCGATTCGATCCCTGGGTCGGGAAGATCCCCTGGAGAAGGGAATGGCTACTCACTCTAGTGTTCTTGCCCGGAGAACTCCATGGACAAAGGAGCCTGAAGGGCTGCAGTCCATGGGGTCGCTAAGAGTCGGCAACGACTGAGCGACAAACACTTTCCTTCACTTCCCAGAGTGGGTGCAGGTCGCAGCGGGACTGGACGGGAATGTGGTTGAAGTGGGAGTCAGGAAATGAGAGTCAGGGAAATAGAGCGGAGTGGAAGAAGCGGGTAGGTGACTTGGATAGTACTTAACCACGGGTGTGGGCTGTGGCTGCGGGGAGGAGCCAGAACCGGCCAGGGCCTTATATCTTTGTCAGGTAGCTGGTCATGCCTAGGGCCTTGGCCGGAGAACCCTGGGCAGAGTCCCTATGACCCTTAATCCCTGGCCAGCGGGAGGCTAGGGAGAAGTGGCTAGCCCTGGAACAGGCAGGACTGCTTAGCCCTGGGTTCTAGAAGGTCCGTTTGGCCTCTTCTTACTTCCCAGATCGAGGACTTTCTCCGGCAGCTCAAGGGCCGAGTGGCCCGGAAGGCCATTCAGAGGATACATCCAGGTGGCCCAAAGGGTCCAAGGCGCTGGGAAACACAGACCCCAGCCCCCATCGAGGTGAGATGGGGCAAGGCTCCCCAGGGCTGGCCCCTGGGGAATGAGGTGGGAGTTCAGGGGGATAATCTGGACAGGGGAGCTCCAGGGAGGAGTAGGGTATGGGGGACTCCTGAGGATTAATCCCTAAGTACCTTCTGCTTGTTCCACCCAGGTGTGGATGGATCTGGCTGAGAAGATAACAGGCCCACTGGAGGAGGCGCTTACTGTGGCTTTCTCACAGGTAGAGCCATTCCCCCCAGGCAGGATGGGGGTGTCCCGGAGGACAGGGTCATATACATGAGTCTAAGCTGGACCTGGCTCCTTTCCCTTTGCCAGCTCTGTGATTTTGGCCCGTCACTGGTCACCTTAGCCTCCGTGTCCACCATCTCAGCCTTCCTCAGGGTGGGGGTAGGGGGGAGGGATTTGAAGGTTTTCTCCTGCAGGGCAGGGGAGTAACCCGCGGGGACACTTCTGCCTTTCCTTCCCTGATCTTTCTCTGCCTGCCAGGTGCTCGGCATCGCTGCCACGGAGCCCATCAACCTCCTGCACTCAGTGCCCTCCAAGCCCACGCAGGCAAGTGGGAAACTACTGCCCCTCAGCACCCCTGGAGGACAGCAGGACCTGGGTCCTGAGGCTTCCAGCCCCGCCCCCAAGGCCTCCGGAGGGCATGAGGTTCCCGGCTCCACCCCCAAGACGCAAGGCCCTGTTCCTGAGGCATCCTCTGAGTCCCTGACTGGCCAGTCTGCTGAGGGAGACTTTTTTGTGGACTTCGAGAAGATCTACACGTACCTGTCATCCATCTCCCGCGGTGGCCAGGTCCCTGAGCTTTCCGCAGCTGGTGAGGAGGGAGGAGCCGGCACTCTGGCGGTGGGTTCTTTGGTGGCCAGCCCCGCCCTCCCGACTCATCCCCTTTCCATCCTTCACCAGAGTCCGCTGTGGTCCTTGACCTGCTCATGGCGCTTCCTGAGGAGTTGTCCCGTCTGCCCTGCGCCACCCTGGTTGAACACATGTCGGGTATGTACCGACATCTGATGGCCCCTCAGCGTGACTTTGCCAGTGGCAGCCTGGCTTCCAGAACTGGGGATAGCGGGGCAGGTTCCAACGGTCAGGAGGAGACTGGCCAGGCCACCCCTCAGGCCCCCGAGAATGCTGGCTCCAGCCAGCCCATAACCTCTTGGCAAGCGGCTGGGGTGTGCCCCCTGAACCCGTTCCTGGTACCCTTGGAGCTTCTGGGCCAGGTGGCAAGGTAGGGGCCTGGCAGGCAGGGGACACTGCAGACCTCGGTGAGCCCCCAGACCCTCAATCCTGCTTGGTCTGGCCCTGGGTTGTCATGAGGTCCTTGCCACAGTGGAAGGTCCCTGAGGCAATGTGCAGTGGCCTTAACGTGCTTGATACAGTGGCGGTCTCAGAGACGAAAGCCCAGTTGTACAAGGAGAGGTTCAGCCATACAACTGTCTAGGCTAACACCACCGTCAAATATTTCCCCTACTGGTTCCTCATCCCCTTCCGAAGCTCGGTATCCTGTGTCCTATAATGGTGAATAAAGTTCTTGTCAACCCCCCTGACTGACTCTTTCTCCTGTGAGTTAGAGGTGGGAGAGGGTTCAAAATGCTGGAGGGAAAATCTGAGCTGGAGAACCACAGCTTAGATCCTGGGGTCTGAGGGTGGTCTGTCAGGCAGGAGGGTGCAGTGGGCAGTGAAGTGACCCTTGGTGATTGTTTGGAGGGTCTTGCCCTGAGCCTGACTGAGGTGGGGGAGTCAGGTCCCCAGCCAGGGGAGACTGAGGGGTGGGCTGCCCATGTCAGGAAGTTGCAGGGAGGGGAGTGAGTCCCTGAGGTGGCCTTGGGGAGGGAGGGAGAGCTGGAGGGGGAGCAGAGGAGCAGAGAAGGGAGCACAGCTGGGTAGAGGGCAGGGCTGGGCTCCCGGCGGCTGTCAAAGGCCTCATGTTCCCGGGGGTGCTCCTGGGTCTCTCCCCCTGCCTGGCCCCCTCCATTAGCCTCCCTGAGGGTGCGGGGGCAGGGACAGGCTGGTTCGGGCTGGGCCGGGGCACCAGGCGTCCTCCCACAGCACCGCCTTCCCCCAGATCTCACCAGTCCTCTAAGAGCTGGCGAATTTTCTGTTCACAGAGCCTGTGCATTCACACAACCTTCCTTTTATAGCAACACTCAGTTTCTCCCCACACACACTGCACACAGCTCCCCCAGGGCGCACGACACTTCTCCCAGGCGGGCCATGGAACAGAGCCAGCCCACTCCATGACTACAGCCCCACCACACCAGACCTGAGGTTCCCGAAGTTGATGGTGGGACGGAGGGATCAGGTCAGAGTGGTCTGGGGCTGCAGGTATGGTCAAAGTGCCAGGAGGCCATGTCAGGTCTCGGAGACAACCTCCAGGGCTGGCTGAGGGTGCCCCATCCCAGCTCCCTACCAGGCTAAGTCCATCAATGGCCCCCAGAGTTGCCCCAAGTTAAGGGAAGGAAGGGCGGTCTTGGCTCTTTCTGGAATGGGGGGAATTAGAGATGGTTAGCCTCAGTTCCCCAGAGCATGCATCTGGGTGTTTCTCAGCCCTGGGCAGCTCTTAAGAGTGTGCAAAAGTCAGCCATGGGTTCAGATTCTAGCTCTGGCAAGTCACTGAACCTGTCTGGACCCGAGTCCCCAGGCCTGTAGAATGACGATGCTAACAGGATCCTGAAAATACAAGAGACCAAGTGCAGAGTCACTACCTCAGCACACTGCTTGGCATGCAGTAAGCGCTCAATAATAGCTTTTATTAACAGCATGGGCTCAGAGGCAGGGAGGAGTGAGAGGCCAGGGGAGGGTCTGGGGAGGGGTGTGTGGCAGAGGGATCGGGGGAGGTAGCAGGGGAGCCAAAGAAAGGTGGAGGTGGTAACAGAGGGACGGACGCGCTGACCTGAACTGGGGCCTGGGCTGGGGGCAGGAGGGAACATGTCTGCCCTCTCCTCGCGTGGAAGGAGCCACGCATCCTGGACACAGCAGCCATTGTCTTGCTCTTCAGGCTCTGTCTCCGGGGCAGGCCGCGCAGGGCATATCGGTATGCAGTGTCCCACCCCGTGAGCCCAGGAGAGCCGGCCCTGCAAGGCCGAAACCCGAGGAGGGGCTCAGCGCTTACCGGCGGGGTTGCGCGGGGTGGGGAGTGAGGATGGTCACAGAACAAGGAGGAAGGGAAAGGATATGGGGGTCTCCGAATCCAGGAGTGGACAGGACACTCATGCTGCTGGGCGGCAGGACAACAGCAGAGAAACACCTACACACTGGGGGTGGAGGGGCGGGACAGGGCAGGATAAAGGCACGAAGTGGGGCTCCGGCCTGGCCAGGAGGGAAGATGGGAGGGGTCTGAGGGGGGAGGGCTTGGACTTCTCATGCCCTCCCCACTCGGGCTGCGGGCTCGCGGGGCAGGATCCCGAGCGCGGTCCAGGCCTGGCGGCGGCCCTGGGAGAAAGACCCTGTCGAGGGCCGGCCAGGGGCGCCGCACCGCTCAGACCAGCGCGTAGTCGAACTGCCCGCGCTCGAGCGCCTCCTTGTGGTCGGTCCAGGACGAGGCGGGCATGCGGCTGTAGGGGTCGAGCAGGATACGCACGCAGCGCACCATCAGCAGCACCAGCACCACGAGCAGGCACAGCACGAAGGCGAACACGGTGCGCTGCTCCGCGTCCAGGCCCGCACCCACCGGGGGCCCCGTAGACGGCGGCAGCGGCTCGGGGGACAGCGTCCACGTCGCGCTCATGGCTCACATCGCCGCGCGCCCTGGGGAGGAGGGGCCCGCCGGGATGCGGGGATGAAGCTGCGCCCTCCCTCTCCCCCGCGTCGCCCCCTCCCGCCGCCGCCCCCCCACTCCCTGCCGAGTCCCAGCCCCCGCCTGCGCCTCAGTCCCGGGGCTACGCCCATGCCCGGCCCGCGGGCACCCAACTCCGGGCGTGCTCGCAGGTGGGGACGCTATGAACAAGGAGAGGAAACCCCGACCCGGTCGGTCCGCGCACAACAGGTGCGAACGCACGGCCCGCGGAGGCGGCGGGGGCTCGACCCCGCTCCCCCGCCCCACTCCCTTTGTTCTTGCGTCCCGGGGACCCCCTCCCCCACCACCCCCGTCCCGCCGCGCCCCTCACCCTGGCCTGGACCGGGACCGGGACCCAGCGCCCGGCAGCCGCGCTGTCTTCCGGGACCCGCACCCTGTCCGCTCTCGGCCTCTCCGCGGCGGCCGCGGCGGCGGCCCCGGCTCTGCCCACCCCACCCGCCCCTGAAGCCGCGGAGACCGAGGCAGGCGAGCCGCGCGCGAGCCGGGCCGCCGCGGCTGTTCCCATGGCGACGGGGGGCGGGGCCGCCGCGGGGGGCGGAGGCTGCGCAGGGAGCGGCGCTCGCGCCCGCGACCCCGCCCCGCCCACCGGGAAAACCGGGCCCCGCCCTGAGCCGCTGCAGAGACCACCGGCCCCGAAGAACCGTTGAGCACCAAGGACTTCACCCTCCCACCCCCACCAGCACTCCTAAACCTCACAGCCAGACCTCAGCTCCCACACCCCCACTCTCCTCTGCAACTGACCCCTCAGTTTCCCTGTTTGAAGGGTCTCAGTGCCCCAAAAACTCATTCGGGCACTAAAGGTCCTCTGGCCCCAGGGACCCCAACCTTCAACCTTCAAGAGACCCCAGCCAGGTCACCGAAAACCTCCATAGCTTTTCTTGTCATTGTCCCCCATCACCCCCACACATACCCAAGGTGGGCAAAGCCTCCCCCTCTTCCGTTGCAGCTTCTTTAGTGACCACGACCGCCTCCCCATCACCACTGGGCTGGCCCACCCCCACCTCCTCCTCAGTCCTAGCTCCCCCACCCCAGTGACAGACACCCTGGACAACCCAAGTTGTTCTCTTGCACTTTGGTGATTTATTATTTCCAAATCTCTGCTTATATACAGGATAACAAGGGCACTGTTGTTTTTTTTTTTTAAAAAAGGAGCTAAAATGGCCTGGCTGATGTGGCCGGTGGGCCCAGGCCCCACTGCTCAGTCCTGGGAGTGCCTGGTCTGAGGTCCGCAGGCCAGCAGCCCGCCAGGGGGCCAGGGGCCAATGCAGCCCCCACCCTCCTCTCCCCATCCGGCCGGTGTTGCAGCTGGCCTGGCAGAGCAGGCGCAGAGTTGACAGTCCTGTCCCCAGAGGTCTGGCTGCTGTAAGTGGATGCCAGTTCCCTGTGTGTCCACAGTGAGGGTCAGCCCTGGAGGGCCCGGGCATAGCCGCCATGCTCAGAGGACCTGCTCTGTGCTGGAGGCCGAGATGTCCAGGAGTCTCCAGGCCGCATAGGGGTTCAGCTCATCCTGGTCTCGGCAGAGCGCCCACACATACAGCATTCGCAGTACCTTGTCCTGCGGAACCCGGGAAGGGTGAGGGCTGGAGGCGGGGAACACCCAGTAACCACACCAGAAGGAGGGCAGGGTGATGCTGCAGTCAGATCAGGGCTGGGAGGGAGCAGGGAGCAGGTCTGGGGTGTTGGCCTGGGCCTGGGATCCAGAGCAGAGGCTGGGACTCAGGACTTGGTCAAACCAGACAGATCAGCAGCCCTCCAACCTCCACCAGGCTCAGCTCAAGGTGCTGTCCTGGTGCCGTGCAGTGCAGTGCAGGGAACTCAGTGCATGCCCTGCCCCTCCCTTCCTGCCCACTCACCGGGTCGCCCTCGACCACCTCCCCTTTGGGGTTCTTGATCACCATCACCATCTGGGCCTGGAAGGTGATGATCAGCACTGGCCCCTGCTCCATCATCTTGCCCATGGCCAGCTGCAGGGGGTGGGGACAAGGTGGATGGGCCTCAGAGAGTGGTCCCTGGTGCCTTCCTTGCAGCCCCCATCCAGGGGCAGACCCAAGCTTCAGCACCCTAGGCCTACTGCCTCCCACTGGTCTGCTTCCAGTGGGCACTTCCCAACTATGAGGGGAATCTGAATCGCTGAGGACCCAGACAGGCTCCCTGGACTGAGGCTTTGTGGACACACAGAGGCCTCTCAGAGCCACCTGTCTTTCATACAGATGTGGGCTTCCCACACAGTCGTGGCAGAAAGACTAGTGGGGGCCTGAGTGGTCCCAACAGAGCCCCCACCTTTCTCAGTGAAGGTGCAGGGAGAGCCGTGGCCTCAGGAGCCCCTGGGTCTGAGCAGCAGCACCCCTGGGCCATCACTTGCTGGAGAATTCCTAACCCCAGGACTATGGAAACCTGTCAGTGAAAGCGACCCTACTCCTCCAGGGACAAGGAGCTCACCCCGCCGAGCTGAGCACAATTCAGAGAAGCACCCCTGCCCCTCCCCCTAACCCTGGAAGAGGCACTCACATCAATGTTGTCAATGTCCAGGATGCGGGAGTGGAACTGGAGGCCCAGAGCCTTGGCCTGCTGGATCGGGTGGGCCAGCTGGCTGTAGGTCTGCAACAAGAAGCCGAACATGCCCATGGGACCGGCCACTCTTGAGCAAGCCATGCCAAGGAACCTGGGAGCTGAGGGCACCACACACCCCAGGCCAGTAGTGGGCTCACAGGCGGGGTTTCAGGCTTTCAGCTCGTGTGCCTCCCAGAAAGGGCTCCCGCGCCAGGAGTGACAGATGCCAGGAGCAGGCAGGCTGGTGCCACCCTCTTGCTGGCGCGAGTCACACACTTCCCTCTCATTACCAAGACAGCACCATATTACCACTATTGAAAGCGGTATTAATCAGTGAGGTCGGGAGCGCTCCTGGAACGCAAACAGGAACATGCTCCCGGAGAGGTAAGTTGAGGCCTCTCTGGCTGATGCAGAACATTCTCCTGTGGATCCTGGCCTGGAACCAAACGCTTTTTTCTAGGATTCATCCTGCCCCATGGCTGCGCTGGGGTGAGCTGCCTGGGTCTGCCTGCTTCTCCCTGACCAGCGCCTGTGGGTGGCTCTCGGCTGCAGGCAGCCTGTTCCTCCTATGGGGGCAAAGACACATAGCCGTCTCGTGCCTGCTCCCAGGCCCAGGATATGGCAATCTCACATCTCAATGGAAGACATTCCAACAGCACCCACTTTTTATGCAACTAATGGACACACCAAATGAAAAAATAAGAAAAGGTGCCAATCTGAGTTCTGGTGTGCTTTCTTAAAGATGACATTCTCAGAACGCCCCGGTGTGAGTGGCTTCAACTTCAGCTCTGTTTCTAGGAGCACCAGCAGCACCCCACGGGTAGAGATAACCAGTCACATCTTAACAGTACCAAAGTGAAAAAAAAATAACCAACCCACTCATAAACGCCTGCTGGATTAGTCACCGTGCAGGGGAGTATTTAAAAAGAAAACCTGACATCTTCTCCTCTGCTTTTTCCAACTTGTTTGTGAGCTGGGTACAGAAGAGAATCAGCCAAAAGAGATTCTGGATTATTTAGTATCAAGAAGCTGGGGGTGAAAAAAACAAACTCCCAGAAGACACAGGTCAGGGAGCCAGAAGGATGGGGCAAGGTGGCCCCGTGGGGACAAGAAGGCTGCCAGAAAGGGACAGGGCAGACGGGGTGCTCCCGAGGCCGCCTGACCCGCCATCACGCAGCCCAGCCCTACCTGTGGCCTGGGACCTGGAGCTCCAGGAACAGCTAGGCCTCCTTAAGACTCGCAGCTCTTACCCAGGCAGAAATATGTCAGTGTCTACTTGGATCTATGTTTGAGGATCTCTCGATAAGAAAAACAGCTAATGAATCCATCCAATGCCACCTGTGTGGGATCTCCGCTTTGGTGTCCCTGAAGCACCCTCTTGATCCCCAAGGGGTGAGCCCAGTGATGTAACCCTGGCCTCGGGAGGGGAGCCGTGGGGCTCACACCCCACTTGCTGGCCAGCACCTGTGACCCCCACGCACAGAGTGAACATTTGATGCACCCCAGGGTTCTCCAGTGTCGCTTTCCACCCACTTCCCTGACCCCTGGATCCCCAGCCTGCAGCCACCCCCACCCCTGACACCCCCATCCCCATCGAGCTCTTCCTGGATGGAGCCACCCAAGCAGATCTCCTTCAAATTGTTATTTCTTCTTAGGCCTAAACAGGAAAAAAAAAAAGCCAGCGAGCACTCACAGCTTCATAGCACCAGTCTTTGAGAATGTCGAGTTCCCCAGAAATCATGGCCTAAAAAGGGAAAGACAAAAAATCAAGTATGAGAATGAAAGTGGGCTTTGGAGGCAGGGAGATACTGCTGGAGAATGTTCTCCAAGGAGACCCTTTGCTCGGCAGCCTCCCAGCCCCATCCTGGGGTCCAAGTCTGGGGTAGGGAGCCCGGGCCAGGCTGGGGCAGTGGGAGAGGAACTCCCACAGCTAACAGTGGGGCAGCCCAGGGTGGGTCCTCAGGGTCTGCAGGAAGGAAAGGGAAGGTGGCAGTGGTTGGAGGTCTGGTCCCAGCTGGGAAACTGAGCCAAGGTGGCCAGGCAGGGGCAGCCTGCCTGCCCCGGGGACAACGCCCTGGATGGCCTGGCCCAGGAGGGACGGGGCAGAGAGGGCAGAGGGGAGTGTGGGGCAGGGCTCCCCGGGTGCAAGGAGAGAAGCTGCCACAGGAACTGGATGTGGTGAGAGCCCTGGGGGGTGGGAGGCACTGGGGGGGAACCACAGGGAGTGGTGGGGGTCGGGGCTGAGATGACCTCACCCAGAGGATCCTGCCTGGGCCTGGGCTGATGCTTTTGGGAGTTGCTACTTTTTCACCTCCTGCCAGCCCTGCCCCGAGTATCCTGAGGAAGCTGGGAACGCGGAGGAGGGAGAAGGGCCCCAGGAGGAGGGATCAGATGTTCACAGAGGACCGGGGGGCTGGGGGGGTGCTCCCTGAAGCCCCACTATGCCACGCCACAGGCTTCTGTATGGGCTGGGCTGCAGGACTCCCAGCCTCCAGCCAGGGCTGGTGGCCATGGAGGGGCAGGGAAAAGGCAGAACACCCCGCCGGCGCACACCCACCTCCAGGACGTTGGGGATGATGTCATTCTCGCACTGCTGCAGGAAGCGGTCCTTGTCAAAGGCGGGGTCCACACGCAGGATCTCTGTGAGCACCTCTGACATCTCGGTCTTCGAGAACAGGCCCCCTGGGATGGCCGAGCCGGCAGGGCAGTGAGGGCCTGGGACTCCGCCCCTTGCCGGCTCAGGGTGAGGGGATGGTCTTGGGGCGGCCCACTCACCCAGCAAGTCCGTGACCTTGTCTGTCAGCACACGGGACGCCCGGATGAAGGCGTTGTCGCTCTCATCATACTTCATCTTCATCTCGAAGAACCCTGTGGCAGGTGACGGGTAGGGTCAGGGCTCAGGGGTCCCTTCCAGAAAGACACCCCCACTCCATCACAGCCCCCCCCCCCCCCCCCGAGCAGACTGGGTAACTGAGGGGCCTCTCGGAGGCTGCTTCTTCCTCAAGAGACCAGGGCCTGGGGGCCAACCTCGGGGTGGGGGAGTGGAGACCCTGCCACCATGAGCTTGGGAGGCTGTGAACTGCGGGGGCCACATCAACTGGCAGCTGCTTTCCCTGCAAAGGAAGCACTGGCTTCTGGGAATCCCTATGGGATGAGGGACAGGGCTCCCTGTCAGCACAAGGGAAGCCAGGTGCCCCAGACTGGGCAGAGCACGCTGGGCCTTGAGCTGGTTCCTGGCATGTGAGGCGGGGTGTGTAGGGGCCAAATCCACAGCTGCACCATCGGGGTGGGGATGGGGGCGGGGGGGCACTCACACCTGCCTGCCTCACAACCACACTGGCTCTAGTCAAGATGGTGACCCAGCCCCGACGGCAGAGCCCCTGCCGCCCGAGACGTCCTGGGTGCTTCCCCTCGGGCCTCCTGAGGCCCGCACTCCACTGCTCACACGCTGGGTGACTCTGCCGCGGTGACTGGCCCGCTCGGACCCCAGTCCCCTCCTCTGTCTGGTGCCCGCCCCCCGGGAGCGCTCAGCGAGTGTCTCTCACTGCCCTGCCACTGAGCCGTCCTGAGATGGGGACACTCACGATTGAACACCACATTGTTGTCCCTGAAGTCCTTCCACTGCTGGTACCACTTGGAATCCTTGTGCAGCACGACCCCCAGCGCCTCTCTGGGAAAGACCAGGGAAGCCAGTGAGTGCAGCGCGGGGGCCGCTCCCACGGGGAGAGGGACCAGTCAGACAGTGTGATGACCCCGGCCTCACTTCCCGGCCCCCTGCCTTCTCGTTTCCCCTGCCCATCCCTCCCCACCTCCATTCTCTCAGGGAGCCAGGAAACCTTGGGCAGAGAGAAACCCCACAGACAGACTCGGGTCGGAACCCCGTGTGGTCCTGAGACAGACAACACTGCAACTGGCTGAAAAGGGAGGTGGAGACAGGGCGGGAAGGCCCCGACCGGCCTGGGACCTACTCATTGGCCTCAAACACTTTCTCTTCCTTGAATTTCTCTCCGGCGAACTCCTTCCTTTTCCGGAGCCGCTCAGGCCGCCGATAGGGCCCGGTCTGTCCTAGGACGCTCTCGTCGATCTCCTTCTTGACAGACTCCACGCCCTGCAGGGCACAGCCGGGCGTGTAGGAGTTAGGTGACCCCCAGACACCCCCAACCAGAAGCTGTATACCCACCCTGGCTCCACGTCTCCAGGTCACCTGCCTTGCAGGTGCAGGCCAAGAATTTGTCGGAGCCTCAGGGGGAGGCAGATGCTCGCTGCCATGAGGAGACCCTGGCTATCTGACTTCTGGTTCTGACTCCCCCCTACCCCCACCAACCCCTGCTCTAACAGCAGCCCCCAGACGACCCTCACATTCTGAGGTCTATTCCCCTGTCTCCCTGGAAACTTCCCTTCAGGTAGGGAGAAACCAGCAACTGGAGGGACATCCTGAGCGGCCCCTGCCCCATGACCCCCATCCAGGCTGACCCAGTCTGTGGATCCCGACTTCCCAAATCTCCGGAACCCATTTCCCTCCCCACCCCACCACCCCAGACACTCTCCGGCCGCCTCTGAGCTGCTGCCCGAGTCCTCGCTGGTGGCTGTGCTTTCAGGATAAAACCTGAACTCTTCCGTACAGGCCCCAGGCCCCCGCAGTGGCTCTGGTCACACCCAGTTGTCCCTGGTGCCCGCAGCTGGCAACACCTGCTCCTCTTGCCTGGAGCCGCCCCCGGACACTCCTGTCATGTTACTCAGAACTGCCTGCCCCTTCCCTGTCCCCACGCCTGTCCTGCGATCCTTTGAGAGCAGCAACTCGGACCTTCTCTCCAGTGGCCCTGCGGCCAGCAGCAGGCCCCGTGTGCGGTAAGGTCTTCACAGAATGAATTCAGGACCTCAAGTGACTGGCAGTGACAGTCTCGGGGTTCTGGGCCAGACCTAAGGGTGTCAGCCACTGACTGCGGGCTGGAGGCTCTTGGTCTGTTAACCAGTAGCTCCCTAGGGGCTGTGATTTGCCCAAGACCACCCAGCTGGGAGGGGCTGAGCCCAGAGATGGGAACTCGGCTCCCGGGGGTTGGGAGCAGGCCAGAGCCTAGAGTGCCCACAGGCAGGAGCCCAGCCCAGCTCACCTGGGAGAGGGCTTTGAAGGCAGCGGTCCGGCCAAGCTTCTCCCCGCCTTTGGACACTGACTCGGCAGACTGCTTGGCGGTCTTGGCTGCTTCTTCCACACCTTCCTTGATTTTCCGGCCAAGGTCACTTTTACTGACTTCGTCAAGACTCTACTGAGACGGAGAAGGGGGAGGTGTCAGCGCAGCACAGGCTGGGGGCTGGCAGGAGTTCCCCCAAGCTAAGGGCCAACCAGGCTGAAGAAGGGCGGGAGCAGACAACCTGAGCTTGTCTGGCTGGTGGAGCTGCGACTGGGGTATGTGCATGCTTGAGAAGGGTGCCTAGGACTCCTGGGGATCTGGGCCTGGGGCTGTGGGCACGGAGCAGACAGGAGCCCCAGCCCTCCCAGGATACACAGTTGTGGCAGCCATGGGTGGCGGGGAGGCAAGAAGAAGGTGAGGAGGTGTGCATGGAGCTGGGCTGGCCTAAAAGCCCTGCCCCTCTCTCCTGGAGATGCAGGAGACTCGGGTTTGATCCCTGGGTTGGGAAGATCCTCTGGAAAAGGGCATGGCGACCCACTCCAGTATTCTTGCCTGGAGAATCCCATGGACAGAGGAGCCTGGTGGGCTACAGTCCATGGGTCACAAGACTAAAGCAACTTAGCAGGCAGGTCCCTCTCTCCAGTCCAGAGCAGAAAAAACAAACAGAAGCAACAAAGAAGAAAGCCCTCCAGGAAAGTCACTCCCACCTCCACCCTCACCTTGGGGGCAAAGTGCTCCCCTCCTATCCTAAGAAGGGAAGAAAAACATCCTTATTTCACGAATCTCCTGTTCGATTGTAGCACAGAGGCTTCTAACTTAAGCAGGCCAGTGAACTGTAGGCCAGTGGGCTGGTCTGACCTCGCCCTCCTTCCTGAGGGCATCGGGGACTTTATCTCCGGAAAGCCTCTGGAGCGGACAGGCTGCTCACCACCCCAGCCTACACAGTGCTGGCTGCCAGCTCCTCCTGCGGCTCCAAGCACTGCCCCCCCACTCCTCTGCAAGAGGTGAGAACAGATGGGCCCTGCAGCCTCGGCTAAGAGGCCCTGGGAGCCCTGAGGCCATTACCTCCTTGACGGTGCCCGTGATCTCCCCCAGCTTCTTCCTGATCACCTCACTTGTCCGCAGGGTTTCCGATTCAATGGTTCTCTAGGGGAAGGACATTGTGTCTTTGTGTTGTGATGCACAGTCCAAAGCAGCATTTTCTGAGCAGTCCCTTCCTCCTCAGACACCCCTCCCCCTCAGCCTGCCCAATGGGTCCCTCCCTTCCCCCCAGGGTCCCTGGCTGCCCCCCAGCCTGGCGTGAAGCCTGGACAGGGACCCTCCTGAGCACAAAGCCCCAGGCCCCAAATCTCTCTCTGGGCGGCAGTGGACGAACTTTATTAGTTGGAGGCTAATTACTTTACAATATTGTAGTGATTTTTGCCATACATTGACATGAATCAGCCATGGATTTACATGTGTTCCCCATTCCGATCTCCCCTCCCACATCCCTCCCCATTTTTTTTCCCCTTTTTAAAATTATTTATTTTTAATTGGAGATAACTGCTTTACAATGTTGTGTTGGTTTCTCCTGTAGAGCAGTGCGAGTCAGCCATAAGTATACACGTGTCCCCCTCTCTTGAGCCTCCCCCACAATGCAGACTCTGATGCAGAAGGTCCAGAAAGCCCCCCGTGTGCTGGTCTGTGTGTAGAGAATGCTGCAGGCTCACCGCAGACCTGGAAGGCTGAGTGGCTCCCCCCGCCCCCTTACTCCCCATCATCAGGGATCCTGACAGCCGGGGCACTGCGCTACGGGAATTCCTGGCTCCAGGGAGCAAGTGAGAGGTGGTGAAGTGAGAGAGGTTAATAGTGATTAACATACTGGGTTGGCCAGTAAGTCTGTTCAGAGACGAGTCACGAAGGGGACTCACGTATTTCCTCCTGGCTTCCTGGAGCGCATCTGACTCTTCCAGCTTCTTGGCCTCGTCTCGGAACTTTTTTATACTTTCTTTCATTTCTTTGTTTTTGGCTAATTCCTGTTTGATGTTATCGAGCAAGCCGGAGAGAAAGCCTTTTCTGCTTCCAGAAGAATAGGATTTGGACTAGAAAGCATATAGAAAGAGACACAGGATTTTTTTTTAAATTTTCTATTTTCTGTTGATACTGGTTTAACAATGAAGAGCTCTCTCTTTGCAGAACAGTAGAAGAGGCACACTAAAAAACTATTAGGTGATAAACTGTGGGGCACCCAGGCAACAAGATATTATTCAGCAATAAAAAGAAATGAGACCAGGGACTTCCCTGGTGGCACAGCAGGTAAGAATCCGCCTGCGAATGCAGGGGACACGGGTTTGATCCCTGGTCCAGGAAGATCCCACATGAGGCCCTGCTCCATGCACTGCCCTGCCCAAGACACGGGCTTTGAGGTCAGACACAGCTAGGTTTAGATCCCGGCTTCTCCTCCTTCACAGGCTCAGGAAAGAGAAAGCTTCAAAAATCATTGTGAGCGAGTGACTCAGCTCAGGGGGACATGGCCTCGTGTGCTTGGCTGCCCCCACTTCTGAGGGAGCACAGGGTCCACCACCAGGCCTGGGGACTCACCCTACCAGTTTCAGGGGCAACAGCCTGCGTGGCTGCTATTGAGCCCCAGCAAAAGAGGTGGAAAGTCTGGGTGCTGCCCCAGAGGTGGGGTGTCCAGGAATGCTGCTGGCAGGCAGCTGTCTGGTCCAGATGGGTCCTGTCCAGCCCTTCTCCAGGGGAAATCCAGGTGCCAAGAGTGTCAGGGACTGCATCAGCTCACAGCAGCCCCACCACTCACCCCAGGGCTGTGGACTGGGTGGTAGTGGTGGGGGGCGGGGCAGATCAGAGACATGGACAACTAATGGGAAAGACATGTCCCACACCTACAACAGCCCCAGGACACAGTTGGGGAAACAGGCTGGCACAGGTAACTAGAGGGCTGTGCTGAGACTCAAAAGGGAAGGGAGGGTGGGCTGCTCAAGCATGTGGAAGTGGAGTCAGTGTGAGGTTTGGGGCTTTCCTCCCTGCCCGTGGTGGTGAAACACCAGCAGAAGCATGGTTGAGGAGTGATGGGGAGGGCAAAAGCTCTAGAAAATGCTGTTTCTGACAAACAGCATCAAGACTAAGAGAGATATCAGGGCTTCCCTGGTGGTCCAGTGGTTTAGAATCCACCTGCCAAGGCAGGGAACATGGATTCAATCCCTGATCCAGGAAGATCCCACTTGTTGCGGGGCAACTAAGCCCTACGCCACAATTACCGAAGCCTCCGAGCCCTAGAGCCTATGCTCTGCAACGAGAAAAGCCTACACAATGAGAAGCCCATGCATGGCAACTGGAGAGTAGCCCCCACTCGCTGCAACTAGAGAAAGCCCCGAGCATAGCAACCAAGACCCAGGATAGCTATAGATAAATAAAATTATGCAAATTTTATATATAAATTTTATAAAAATATAAAAACTAACATTACATAAATATAAAATTATATAAAAACAAAATTATAGAAATTTTGTATAAAAATATAAATGTAAAAGTTTTATAAATACATACAATTAAAAAAAAAATAAAGGTAAGGACGGTTTAGCCTGGGGAAACCCAGCTCCAGGAGATGTGTGACTATGCAAACACAAATGCCCATGGAGCTGTCTCCCAGAAGCAAGGCCCAGCTTTGCTTGAAGGACCCAGACGTGCGACCCAATGAGGGGTGCATTTCAGCTCCGCTACAGGAATCCCACTCCACTCTGGGAGGTAGAAGCCCCACCTCCAAGTGTGCCCAGCACTTCCAGATACCAAGAGCACTAGGCCTACTGGGCTCTGTGACTCCAGAAGGCCTGCCCATCAGACGCCCTAGCAGTGTGGGCAGCATCCTGCAGGCCTCTTGTCACCTATGCCTCACTCTCACACCTCCCCTTCCAGCCAGCTCGCTCACGTCTTGAGTCACTCACCAGGGTCAGCTCTCCACTAGGCCAGGGCAGCTGGTAGGTACCATGGGGCAGTGGCACTAGATTGTGGCTGGACAGGAGATGGACTCCACTGCCAACACATCTCTAATTGAGGGAGAAGAGATAAAGATCCATTTAGACCAGAGAGTAATGAGGAAGGAAGGAAATAGGCCACCTAAAAGAGCAGGGATTGCCTGAGACTCATCTGATGATTTTTATCACATGCCACCTGCATGCTTGATGCTCGACCATCTTCCCAAATTCTGAGAAGCCAGTGGAATCTGGTAGAAAGAGAAAATCTTGGAACTGTACCACAGGGCCCACATGTACCCTCCTGACTCTCAACCTAGGGGAAACCAGACGGGTCCTAGGAAATGCCAACCTATGTTGGAAGAAGGCTAAAGGCTAAATGTGCCAGTCTAATTTAAGGCCTTAGTCTGAAAATGGGCATGCTGAGCCTTGATGCTGGTAGCAACCAATCTTCTCTCACCAGCCTTCTCTACTTCTGCTGGCCTTGGAGGACCAGAGGCCTGGGCTTTCAGAGGTAAACATTGATAACTTACTGTCCCAGGCACGACCCTGCAATAAACGTACCATGTCCTGATCCAGGGCTGGGATGTGAACAGAGCAACTTAGGGGAGTCACCTGGGCAGAGAGATGCTGCTAACCTCATGTGAAAGGCATTTCTTCTCTGACCAAATGATGAACTTAAGTTCCAGGAAGGAAGTTCCATGTAGGTCCTGTTCAATGCTGCATCCTAGCACCCAGCATGGAGCCAGTTAGACATATGTCAATGACCTGACGAAATCACATTTCCATGTCTACAATCCCTGGGCCTCTCCTCATCCTGTTCCATGCTTCCTGTCTCCAGGAACTCTAAGCAACATACAGACTGACACAGATGCTATGATCACCTATAGCTACCCAAGAGTAACTCTTGTGAGTCAGTGAAACTTTTGTTTTAATTGCTTTGTTGTTTTCTTCCTCTAAACGCCTACAGCCATTGATCCTGGAGCCACTGATGTCAGCTGCAGTCTGAAGTTAAAGTGGATCGCTGTCTAATTGGGGAGGAAAATCCCACAGGAGGAGGGAACCTGAAGGTGGCTCCTCTTTTGTCTTGTGCCCAAATCCAAACACCTGTACATGCAGCTTTCAAACCCTGACTCAAAAGACAATCAGTCCAGAAGAAAAGCTCTGCCCTGAGTCAGAAACACCTTGTTTCTCCTGACACTCAGATTCCTGTGAGATACTTTCCTTCCTGACCTGAGCTTTGGGCTAGGTCAGCGACCCTGCTAGTTCTGAGACTGTGGGCAGCTTGCTTAACTCCTCTGCGCTCCCAGTTTCCCCAACCTGTGAGATAGCATCAAATAGTAGCGACGCGAGTACTATTTTCCCAATGCACTTTATACGCCCTGACCCCCAAGTCATCTGTGAGCCCAGATGCTCAGCCAGGGCGACAACTACCTCCCGTACTTTCAGAGGATTAGGAAGAGGGACGGAAAGTGCCCCCGGGAGCGGAACAAGCATATAAAGCTGAGCCGTGACTGTCACGGTCTTCTGGCTTTTCCTTGCCACTGTTTCTCCATGGAGCGCCACGATCACCATTCACTCATCGGTACACGTGGGGTCAGCCAGAAATGAGGGGCGATCCTCTCCCTGCCCGGCTCCATGCATTACTGCCCCCGGTCGGACAGTCTCGGCTCCCCCGCCCTCTGGCCTAGCTCCAGCACGTTACCGGGCCCCCGCTCCGGCCTCGGCTGACCCAGTGACCAAACTCTGAGTCTCTCGCGGAGCCCAGGGAAGGGGCAAAGAGGTCAAAGACCTCGGGACAGCGAGATCCTGGAGGTCGCGGGTCCGGAGCTCCCTAGTCTCGCCCTCCTGGCCCCGCATATCTGCTCACCCGCGGGCAGCGGCACCAGCCTGCCCGCAGCGCCGCCGCCGCCATGCTGGAGGATCCCGTGTGACCTTCTCGGGGCGCGACTCGATACCGTCATCCGCCGCGTCTGCCTGGTAGGGTCTGGGCCTGGGAAAAGCAAGTCCTGGGGGCGGGGTTTGTGAAAGGAAGGGCGTATCATTGGACAGGACTCCCAAGGAAGGAGGGGCCGTGGAGGGAGGACCACAATAGGGGCGTGGCCTTACCGAGGGCGGGAGAATCCTAGAGAGCTAGGTCTCTGATAGGGCAGGGTTTCGGAAGAGCGGGGCCTGTGACTGGATGTGACCTGGGGGGCGTGTTCTCCTGTGTGGCAGAGACCTGTGGTTGGATAAGAAAGCGAAGAGGCGGAGCCTGAAGATGTGGATTCTGTCGCGAGTGGAGATTTTCCTACAGACAACCTAGGGTTCGCGTGGCCGGAAAAACCGGAACAGAACGACCCACCATAAGAACCGATTCAATTGGGTTCTGACTGATTGACCGATGGGCCCGCCCTTTGCTACTGACTGACTCAGTGACTGACATTGACTAACAGACTAGCAAGTGAGTTGCTTCACGAGCAAGAGAGAATGAACCCACGTTTGTACGGCACTTTCGGAAGGCACCTGTTGCTTTTGGTCCAGAAAAGGAACGAGAAGCTGAGACCTGGCTGGGTGTGAGCCACTCTTCCCTCCATCCATTTAGTGTGAATTGATACACCTGGCCCGGAAGAAGGTCATGCCTCTGTCACGTCAGCGCCCAGATGCTATTTACCATTTCGAGAATCCACCACCAAGTGGCGGTACCTGGACATGGTCATGCAGCTAGGAAGAGGTGGTGTGTTGGTAGCGTTGTTGTTCAGTATCTCAGTAGTGTCCGTCCGACTCTTCCTGACCCCATGAACTGCAGCATGCCAGGCTTCCCTGTCCTTCACTATCTCCCAGATTTAGCTCCAACTCCTGTCCATTGTGTTGATGATGCCATCCAACCGTCTCATCCTCTGTCGGCCCCCTTCTCCTCTTGCACTCAATCTTTCCCACCATGAGGGTCTTTTCCAGTGAGTCAGATCTTAGCGTCAAGTGGTCAAAATATTGGAGCTTTAGCTTCAGCATCAGTCCTTCCAATGAATATTCAGGGTTGATTTCCTTTAGGACTGACTGATTTGATTTCCATGCTATCCAAGGGACTCTCAAGAGTTCTCCAGCAACGCAATTCAAAAGCATCAATTCTTTGGCGCACAACCTTCTTTATGGTCTAACTCTCACATCTGTACATGACTATTGGAAAAACTACAATTTTGACTATACGGTCCTTTGTGGGGGAAATATCTGCTTTTTAAGATGCTGTCTAGGCTTCCCTGGTAGCTCAGTTGGTAAAGAATCCACCTGCAATGCAGGAGACCTTGGTTCGATCCCTGGCTTGGGAAGATCCCCTGGAAGAGGGCATGGCAACCCAATCCAGTACTGTTGCCTGGAGAATCCCCATGGACAGAAGAGCCTGGCGGGCTACAGTGCATGGGGTCTCAAATAGTTGGACACAACTGAGTGACTAGGCACAGCACAGATCTGTCATAGCTTTTTTCCCAAGGAGCAATCATCTTTTAATTTCATGGCTGCAGTCACCATCCACAGTGATTTTGGAGACCTAGAAAAGATCTGTCACTGTTTCTACTTTTTCCCCATCTATTTGCCTTGAATTGATGGGACTGGATGCCATGATCTTAGTTTTTTGAATGTTGAATTTTAAACCAGGTTTTTCACTCTCTTCCTTCACCTTCATCAAGAGGCTGTTAGTTCCTCTTTGCTTTCTGCCATTAGATATTATCTAGATATCTAAGGTTGTTGATATTTCTCCTGGCAGTCTTGATTCCAGTTTGTGTTTCATTCAGCCCAGCCTTTCAGATGGTGTCCTCGCTGGTACCATGGGGAGAGTTAATGTACGTTGCCTTTGCCCTATTGAAACCTTTGCCATTACTAAAACTGTGATGAGGTCTATGGAACTTGGAAGGGAGGCAGCATACGCTCCCTGGCTTCAGGGTTGGACAGATCTGCGTTCTCTGTCCCTCAGGAGCGCCACCTAGAGGTGGGAAGAAGTTTTGAGGGCTTCCACTCTGGCTTTGTTGGAAATGCCTTTATTTGAAGAGGAGCAAACTAGTTAAGAGGTCGGGATATACAGGTTTGCTGCTGAGAAGAAGGTCTAAGTGTTTCTTAGTTGTAGTTGAAATCATGGAGTTAGACAAGGGCACCCAGAGAGAATATGTCAGGTGGGATATCAAAACCCCATAGTCAGATGGGGGAAGAAGAGCCCTTAAAAGATGCTGGGCAGGACTGGTGAACAGGTCAGAAGAGGACCTGGAGGGGCTTGGAAAAGACAAGTGGAGTAAGTGGTGCTGAAGACAGTAGAGAACTCAGGCCAAGCAGACCAGGCCAGAATGGTATCCATCGGCCCTTGCACTTTGTAACATGGAGGTTCCTGAGGAGAGAAGCTAGAAGGTTTTGGTTGAATGGTGTCTGTGGAAGCCAGATTTCAATTGGCTGAGTCTTTCGTTTTTTTCAGAGGTGTGCTGGAACCAGCTTGGACTGCCTGGCAAGAGCCAGTTGTCAAATTTTCAGGAATTTTGGAGCTAGTTGTTAAACACGGTCATTATTTTAAAATTGATTGTATAAGCTTACAATCAACTGGATTATATTAAAACAATGGTAATAAATTCTCAAAACTCAACACTTCTTATTATGTCCCTGTCTATGCTACTGAAGTTATTTGCATATGTCTCTTCCGTAGGCTGGAAATACCATATTAGATGTGCTATACCTCTTAACTAGTTTTGTCTTTTTTTTTTTTTTTCCCCCTAAAGTAATGGTTTATTTGCAGGGTGCCACACAGGGAAATAGGAGACAAGTCCCAAGTTCACTTCATCTTGGTCACTGAGCTAGGGATTCGTTTTCGTATTTATTTTTATTTATTTAATTTGGCTGAGCCAGGTCTTCATTGCAACATGTGGGATCTAGTTCCCTGACCAGGGGTCGAACCTGGGCTTCCAGCATTGGGAGCACCAAGTCTTTGCCACTGGACCACCAGGGAAGTCCCCACCAATTCTGTCTCTAATGCACCACATTAATAGCCTGAAATTGGCCATGGTGGGAGTATTTGCGCCATAGGAATTGACAAATGCTACAGATCAAGAACTTTCTGGTATGTTTGGAGAGTCAGTTATTAAATGTTTAACAAGCACATAGAGAGGGAGAACAGAGATGCCTCTGAGGAATCTTTGCAGTGCTTAGAAAGTGAAATTATGACAGCTGGAGGTACATATGGGGTATAGTAAGGGTGGTTTATGTTTTCCCTACCTTTTCATTTTGAAAATGTTCAAAGCTACAAAAAAGTTGCAAGAATAGTATAGTGAACACTCATACACCATTTACCTACATTTGTTTTGCCACATGTGCTTTAGCATTTGCTATGTACATGTGAGGGTTTCCCAGGTGGTGCTAGTGGTAAAGAACCTGCCTGACAATGCAGGAGACATAAAAGATCCTGGTTCAATCCCTGAGTCGGGAAGATCCCCTGGAGGAGGGCATGGCAACCCACTCCAGTATTCTTGCCTAGAAAATTCCATGAACAGAGGAGCCTTGTGGGCTACAATGCATGGGGTCACAGACTTGGACATGACTGAGTGTCTGAGAACTGATAATTAATTTTTAACAGTTCTTTTCAATTATAGTTTGGTATAAGACATTGAATATAGTTCCCTGTGCTATACAGTAGGTCCTTGCTGTTTGCTTATTTTATATATGTACTCAAATGCTCAATCATGTCTGACTCTTTGTGACCCCATGGACTATAGCCCACTAGGCTCCTCTGTCCATGGAATTTTCCAGGCAAGAATACTGGAGTAGCATTATGTGTATGGGGAAAAAAAAGGAATACTGGAGTAGGGTGCCATTTCCTCCTCCAGGAGATCTTCCCAACCCAGGGATGGAACCCACAGCTCTTACAACTCTTGCATTGGCAGGTAGATTCTTTACCTCTAGCTCCACCTGGGAAGCCGTGTTATATACAGTGGTGTGAATCTGTTAAGTCAATAGTCCCAGTTTATCCCCCCATCCATCACCTTTGGTAAGTGAAGTTTGTTTTCTGTATCTATGAGTCTGTTTCAGTTTTGTAAATAAGTTCATTTGTACTGCTTTTTGGACCCCACATATGTAATATCATACGATATCTGTCTCTTTCTGACTTATTTCACTTAGTAAGCTATTCTCCAGGTCTATTCATGTTGCTGCAAATGGTATTATCCCACTCTTTTTATGACTGAGTAATAGTCCATTACTTATTACACATAGAATATCTTCTTTGTCCATTCACCTGTCGATGGGCACTTAGCTTGCTTCCATGTCTTGGTTATTGTAAATAGTACTGCTCTGAACATTGAGATGCATGTGTCTTTTCAAATTAGAGCTTTTGTCTTTTCTGGATAACTGCCCAGGAGGGGGATTGCTGGATATATGGCAACTCTAGTTTTAGTTTTCTTAAGGAATCTCTATAGTTTTCCATAGTAACTCTGCCGATTTACAATCCTACTAACGTGTAGGTTTGTACCTACCTTTTTTCCGTGTCTTCTCCAGCATTTATTATTTGTAGACTTTCTAATGATGGCCATTCTGACCAGTATGAGGTGGTGCCTCATTGTGGTTTTGTTTTGCATTTCTCTAGTAGCAATACTGAGCATCTTTTCATGTGCCTATTGGCCATCTGTTTGTCTTCTTTGGAGAAAAGTCTGTTTAGGTCTTCTGTAGCCTGGGCACAAGGTTAACAAAGGCAGAAAAGGTAAAAGGGAAGGGATTTTTGTGATTTCAGCTCCCTGAGTAGACCTCGGTTACAGGGTTGCCAGCCTTGTCTTGTAACTTGGTGGGTCATTGGTGATTGTGCCTGATCTACGTGTTCCTACAAAGCAAAGCAGCAAATCGTGGTCTGTTGTCCAAGCCAACTAGTGGGTGGTATTGTATTATAGCTGCCCCAGCTGACTAAGACAGTCAGTTCTCCCAGATGGTAGACTAACCCCAGGCTGTCTGGAAACCTTCCCAGTGCTATCAGGTGAGTCTGTGTTACAGTCGACCGGGCA